TGATATGACACTATCTGGATGATCAGCTTTTACATTGTCAACATTAGTTAAGAGCATGATTTTGAATCACAACCATAGTGAGGATGTGTAACAGCAGCTCTCCGTAGGGCTCATGCTATCCATCATGTTGTTAGGTAAACTAAAAGACAAGTAGTTTTGTACACACTCCTCCTCCCACATACCACATACAGCATCTTTAGGGTTTATTCAGTGCTTACATGGCCAGTTTGCACTTATCTGTGTCTATTTCAGGTCTTCCTTGCTGATGGCAACTTGCCCAAAAGAGGCAATTTTATTGTCTACTGTCCTTCATTTTGTCAGTTCTTTTCACTATGGAATGTTTATTCCTCCTCTTTAGAAGTGAATAGCCATCCTTTTCCTCCCCTCCAACTCAACAATCTGTTTAGACAGCTGGGTAATTGAAAAAGAAAGTAGCTTAGGGAGAACTTGTTAATGGGGATTTTACCAAGTTTAGCAGCTTCTCCACCTGAGTATATTATGAAAAGTTTTTGCCCGCAAAGAAGAATGGATTCCTTTAATAGTGTGACTGCATATAAATTATATGAGTGGTATTGTCAGCAGTTCAACTTAATTTCTTTCTTAGATGCTGATGATGAGGGAGTGGCGGAAAGAAGGGTTTTATCCTTATGATGCGTGTAAGGGCTATTTGTATATTAGGTGGGCTCCTAAAACAAATCTGTTTTCTTGTATGTCAAACTTGGTTGGTTCTGTGAAATTTCATTTTAAAAAATGGCTCTTGTACTGTCCTTTCTTGACAAGAAATTCTAATTGGCAGTGTGATTTTATCTTTTATTTGCTTAATAAGGCTTATATGTTAGCAACTGGAATGACATGCATAGCTGGTTAAACATGTACACACCAGGGCATTACATTCTCTGTATATGGAGTATTAGATTTTGAGTGGCAAAATTCTCTTTAGTGGTTGTGAGTTTACCTAAGTATTAATCCATATGAGATTCTAATAGTGGTGTCTGATTAAAGGAAGACTAATGATTTTCATCTGTGATGGTCTTTTCTCTGACAGTAGCTTTTGAACTTTTAATGGCATTGAAAAGACTGGAGCCCATTTCAGGCATTTTAGTGGTTTACCTGTATGATTATTTCATTGTTAAAGAATAAAAATCTAAGCCTTATACAGTATTTATGGTATCTTATTCTAAATTTACCAGATCTTTTTGCAGAGCTTATTTGTTCTGCTTGTGGAATTCTTTTTTTTTTTTTTTTTTTTAGATTTTTATTTATTTATTCATGAGAGACAGGGAGAGAGAGAGAGAGGCAGAGGCAGAGGGAGAGGGAGAAGCAGGCTCCCTGCTGAGCAGGGAGCCCGATGCGGGACTCGATCCCAGGACCCTGGGATCATGACCTGAGCCGAAGGCAGACGCTTAACCATCTGAGCCACCCAGGCACCCTGCTTGTGGAATTCTTTTTTTTTTTTAAGATTTTTATTTATTTGACAGAGAGAGATATAGCGAGAGAGGGAACACAAGCAGAGGGAGTGGAGAGGGAGAAGCAGGCCTCGTGCTGAGCAGGGAGCCCGATGCGGGGCTCGATCCCAGGACCCTGAGATCATGACCTGAGCCGAAAGCAGACGCTTAACCATCTGAGCCACCCAGGCGCCCTGCTTGTGGAATTCTTATTGACTCTAGAGAGAGACTTTTTCTCTTTCCCTGTAGAATGAGGCAGTTCCTAAATGAGCTTATATTAAATTGATTAATGCAGAAGTTATCTGAACATTGTATCTAGACTTCTTTTGTTTTGTTTCAAGTTTTTATTAAATTCTAGTTAACATATAGTGTAATATTTTCAGGAGTAGAATTTAGTAATTTATCATTTACATACAATGTGCAGTGTTCATCACAATAACTGCCCTCCTTAATACCCATCACACATTTAGCCCATCCCCCCCACCTCTCCTCTGGTAACCATCAGTTTGTTTTCTATAGTTAAAACTCTTTTATAGTTAAAAACTCTTTTATGGTTTGCCTTTCTCTCTCTCTTTTTTTCCTTTCCCCTATGACCATCTGTTTTATTTCTTAAATTTCACATATGAGTGAAATATGGTATTTGTCTTTCTCTGACTGACTGATTGCTCTTGGCATAATACACTCTGGCTCCATCCACATCATGGCAAATGGCAAAATTTCATTCTTTTTAATGGCTGAGTAATATTCCATTGAACATATATACCACATCTTCTTTATCCATTCATCAGATGATGGACATTTGGGCTCTTTCCATAATGTGGCTATTGTAGATAATGCTGCTATAAATATCGGGATATATGTGCCCCTTCGAATCAGTGTTTTTGTATCCTTTGAGTAAATACCTACTAGTGCAATCGCTAGGTCATAGGGTTGTTCTATTTTTAACTTTTTTTTTTTTAAATGTTTTATTTATTCATTCATGAGAGTCAGAGAGAGAGAGAGGCAGAGGCAGAGGCAGAGGGAGAAGCAGGCTCCCCGCCTAGCAGGGAGCCTGATGCGGGACTCGATCCCAGGACCCTGGGATCATGACTCGAGCCGAAGGCAGATGCTTAACCAACTGAGCCAACCAGGTGCTCCTATTTTTAACTTTTTGAGGAACCTCCATAGTGTTCTCCAGAGTGACTGCACCAGTTTGCATTCCCACCAGTAGTGTTGAGAGAGTTCCCTTTCTCCGTATCCTCGCCAACATCTGTTGTTTCTTGTGTTGTTAATTTTAGCCATTCTGACAGGTGTAAGGTGGTATCTCGTTGTGGTTTTGATTTGTATTTCCTGAGGATGAGTGATATTGAGCATCTTTTCATGTGTCTGTTAGCCAGTATCTAGGCTTCTTTTGTAGTTCCATTCTTGGCAGGAGTTTATGTGTACGCCTAAATACAGTTTCTAGAAGTCCAAGCTTATATATTATTCATTTACTGATTAATGAACTGATATTTATTATACACCTAGTGTGTGCCAGATATGAAGATAGAAAACTGGGGTAGAGGAACAGGATTCAGTCTCCTTATGGAGACATGTATCAAACAAAGAATTACAATACGGTCAGGGATTAGTGTTAAAATGTATATATAGATGGGATAAATAGAGATAAAGGTGGTAAACATATAGATAGATGAAAGAATGGAGAGAGTGTATGTATGTATGTATATATAACATGTATATGTGTGATAGAGTACAAAGAGCATTTTATTCTCATAGAGGTAAGAGCAAGGAAATCTTTTCAAAGGAGATAACATTTATGTTGCTTTTTGAAAGCCATGTGAAACATACCAGCTAGCTCTAGTATTAGCTCAAGAGGGGACTAATTTATATTCTCCTGCTTAATTTTTCTCTTGAGAACTTATTACCATCTTAATTACTGTGTTTATTTCATTCATTTATTGTCTGCTGTATTAGGATGTTATCTTTTTGAGGATAGAGATTTTTTTGTCTGTTTTGATTATTTCTATATTCTCAACACCTAGAAGAGTTTCTGGCACATAGCAAGAGCTCAAGTATGTGTTGAATGAATGAATGAAGTTTGTGAGTTCTACAGTAATTGCCTTATTTTCTTTTAGTTTATTAAGACTATCTCTCTACAATTCCTAAATATTTTTTTCTCAGTGTTTTTCATATATGTACTTTAATCCCCCATGATAACATGCTATCTCTATAATGTTTCTCAAACCCACGCCCTCTTTTCCATCTCTCTTAGCTTTTTAATCTTCAGTATCTCTCTTTTTTTTTTTTTTTAAGATTTTATTTATTTATCTGAGAGAGAATGGGAGACAGAAAGCATGAGAGGGGGAGGATCAGAGGGAAAAGCAGACTCCCCGCTGAGCAGGGAGCCCAATGTGGGACTCGATCCTGGGACTCCAGGATCATGACCTGTGCCGAAGGCAGTTGCTTAACCAACTGAGCCACCCAGGCGCCCAATCTTCAGTATCTCTTACCTGAATTGATAAACTCTAATTATTTTCCATGTCTCTATGCAAGTCCCCTTAAATTTTTTCTTCACAGCCATCAGAATTATCTATCTAAAATGCAGAACTGACCAGACTATTTCTTTGCTTAAAAATACCTAATGGTTGCCATCTGTCTAGAATAAAATTTGTGCTCTTTAGATTGCACACAGGGCCATCCATAGCTTGGATTCAGCTACATAATGGTGAGTTCTCTTACCATCTTATAACAATAAAAATCGGTCTATTCATTTTTCTTTGTACAACTAGTGCCTGGTAATATAAAGAATTGAATAAATATTTCTTTGAGTAAATGAATGCATTACAGATGTGTATGAAGGAATGAAAAACTACAATAAGGAATTTCATTGAAAATGCTTCATGTTTAGATAAAAGGTGATATAAAAATATATTTTAACACTAGCATTTAAGAACAATTTTTCTTGGGCGCCTGGGTGGCTCAGTTGGTTGAGCGACTGCCTTTGGCTCAGGTCATGGTCCTGGAGTCCCGGGATCGAGTCCCGCATCAGGCTCCCTGCTCAGCAGGGAGTCTGCTTCTCCCTCTGACCCTCCCCACTCTCATGCTCTCTCTATCTCATTCTCTCTCTCAAATAAATAAATAAAATCTTAAAAAAAAAAACAATTTTTCTTTATACAGCTGATTTGTCTTTCTTACTGTCTTGTTCTAATCCTCAATTCACTGTGAAGTGATTTACAGTGTCATTATTGAAGTAATCCCATTTCTCATGTCTTCCCTATATTCCTCCCTCAATCCCATCTCTATATGTTGGCTCTTTTCTCTCTAGCTACTTCCCTTATTTTTTTAGAGATTTATGTATATGCATAAATGTCCATAGCTACATGGGTGTCTTTTCTGTGTTCTGCCTGTAAGTTCTGTCTTGAAAATTTTGCATGCAGTTCTGAAACCCTAGTATTAAATTATTTCTATGGAACATACACTCAGAGACAACCCTGGTCTACCTGTTTCCAACTTAAAATGATTTTTATTGTGACTATTTGTATTTCTCTTAATTTCGTTTTTTTCCCCCACACTTAGATTGAAAATCTTCAAGAGCAACTTAGAGATAAGGAGAAGCAAATGAGCAGCTTGAAAGAACGAGTCAAATCGTTGCAGGCTGACACTACCAACACCGACACAGCCTTGACAACTTTGGAGGAGGCCCTTGCAGAGAAAGTGAGTGACTGGTTTGGACTCTCCGTAGACACGTTTGCTCTGCTTCCTCATTAATCTAAAATTTTCTCTAGTAATGAGACTTGGATATAAAAGAAGAAATCCCTTAGGGCAAAAGAGAAAAGAGCTTTCTGTACTGCTGCTGTCGTAGATAGTATAAAGGGATAGAAAATCCATTTTGTTTTTGTCAACTTAAGCATCTGTTGCTAGGCAAGGTGGATTTCACACTAGAGGGTAGTGGCTGACAGTTTTCCCCCTCCCTTCCCCTCTCTTCTCCTCCCCTCCCCTCCCCTCTTCTTTCATTGCTATATTTATTTTAGAGAGAGAGGTGGGTAGGGGCAGAGGGAGAGGGAGAGATAAGCAGACTCCACACTGAGCTAGGAGCCTGATGTGGGACTTGATCTCACCAACCTGAGATCATGACCTGAGCCGAAACCAAGAGTCAGACACTTAACCACCTGTGCCACCCAGGTGCCCCCAGTGGCTGAAATTTCTAAAGACTAAGCCATACATTCCCATTTACTCTCTTCTGAAGAAAAAGAAAAGTTCTTTTTATTTATCTCATCAACTAGAATTTGGGGATGTGGGAATATCAGACATTGACCATTAGGAAGCAACATATAAATAGTTCTCCTTTACTGTACAATGTTGATACCTAATATAGTCTTGGATTTTAGTTATTAATACAACATGTTGTTTTTCTAATCTTGGCCTTGCTACTTCATTTTTGTTCATGAGCAAACCTAATTTTTCAGGAATAGTTGAGTAAATAAAGAAGTGGCCCAGCCAGTTAGGTGTTAATGTCTTGGAAGGAGGTTCAAGGAATCTTGGTGGGGCATTTTAATAGGGTTTTTAAAAAAGATTTTATTTATTTATTTGACAGACAGAGAGCACAAGTAGGCAAAGAGGCAGGCAGAAGGAGAGGGAGAAGCAGGCTCCCTCAGCAGGGAGCCTGATGTGGGGCTCAATCCCAGGACCCTGGGATCATGACCTGAGCTGAAGGCAGCTGCTTAACCGACTGCGCCACCCAGGTGCCCCCTGATAAGATGGTTTTTTTTTCTTTTTTTAAAGGAATAGGGTCACTGTTCCTTAAGCCTCTTGGACTCATAATGCTTCAGGCTATGTGCCAGGGATCAAGGCTTGATCCCTGAATACAGTCAGAAATAATAACCAGAAATATACTTAAATTGCTTCAACTTTTAGACTTCCTGAGTATCTGTTGACAGAAATTTTAATGGATTCTCTCTTTTCCCCCCACTTTTTTATGCTCTAAGCTCAACATATCATAATCTCCCAAATCTCTTCCTTTTTTGTACGTGAATTTTGAGTTGAGTTGTTTCCATTGCCTTGTGGGCAACACGTGAATTACATATAAAAAAGAAATATTTGTTACTTATCACCCTTAGGGCTGTATGTGTGTAAAGTTTTTGGATACTTGGGAGTTGAATAAAGGGGATTATTCCAAAAGAATACTTTAAGGACTTCTAATACTATTTGAGATTATAGGAAAAGAAACCTAGGGGAATCAAAAGAACAAAGCCACATCTTTATTATTGCAAGAGAGGTAGGAAGTATGAATTCCTTGAAAAGTAGATTATTAACAACTTATCACTGTCTTTTGAATGGAGCATGAAAGTGTGAAATTTATCAGCTAAAAGCTGAATTAGAGTCATATGATAGAAATATGAAAGGAATTTTCTTACGGATTGACGTGTTCTCTCATCAGGAGCGGACAATTGAACGCTTAAAGGAGCAGCGGGACAGAGATGAACGAGAGAAGCAAGAGGAAATTGATAACTACAAAAAAGATCTTAAAGACTTGAAAGAAAAAGTCAGCTTATTGCAAGGCGACCTCTCAGAAAAAGAGGTTAAGATCACCAAAATAGAATGATTTGGTTTGCTTAGTGCGTTGTATGTATATGTTGTTGGTGTTTACATAATGCATATAAAAATGTATTTGATGGAAGATTTTCTTAATATTCTTATAGCAGGCCTTTTCAGAAGATGTTAAGGGGTATTTTGGGAAGCTTTGCAGAGACATAATGGCTATTGGATCATTCATTTCCCAAGTTTAGCTTTTTCAATATGTTACGAGTTGGTTTCTTACTTGTTAATGACATTTTTATAGATCCTGAAATAACTGAAACAGTTACACATGGAAAAATACTGTGCTAATGGTAAGAAAGGTGATAGATAAAAGAATATGCAGATGGAGGAGGGCTGCTTATTTACAATATGTCTTCAAGTGCGTCTCAGTACTGGCAGAGAAATCTTAAGTGATTGCTGACCATTTAGGTGACTTAGTATATTTTGGTCTTGCTTTTGGAAGATCCTGTTAATGTGACACAAATAGTAAAAATACTGCCTTGTGATCATGTAATAATGCCTGAGCTTTAGGGACACTCTCCGATTTTCTTTCTAGTATCTTTAAGGCAATTTATGGAAATTTAAGTTTGTGGTGGAACTTTCCTTCTAAAAGGGAAAAGTATTTTATATTTACGTCAGTGTAGCTACTACAGTAACTAGTAGTGAGTACTACTGCTAGTGACTAGTTTCATTCATGAAGCTTGATCTACTTCCATTTATTTTATGGGAATGGATATGTATTGATAGAACTCTTTAAGTCACAATTCAGTTGGTATTTCTTGGGAATTCAACTTACTTTAGTTAGGACTTGAAAGCTGAAGCTGACATTGTTTTATATTTCATGAATGTTCTTGAAATGGAATTGTCAGTATATAGTAATAAATAGAAACTACAAGCCACCAAGATAATAAATTTTAAAATTTACATTTTTATTTTGTTTGTACTTAGTATTTATTCTAGATGTGTGTTGCTTCTTTCAGGCTTCACTCTTGGATCTGAAAGAGCATGCTTCTTCCCTGGCTTCCTCAGGACTGAAAAAGGACTCACGGCTTAAGTCACTGGAGATTGCTTTGGAACAGAAGAAGGAGGAGTGTCTGAAGATGGAATCACAATTGAAAAAGGTTAAAGAAAATTTTTCCACTTTTCTTACTTTGCTTTAAATAAGAACAGAGTAGAGAGCTCTGCAGTGTTCAATGTGTAATAAATTACCAATGATGTAAAAATCCCCCACAGTTCAAAATATCATTTATACCTTCATCAGTTCTCTTAATGGTCTTGTCCTCTTTTATTTTACTACTGAGCATCCTCAAACTCTTAGAAAATTGACAGTTTAGAGAAAGATTAAAAAATGCAGCTCCTTTATGGACAAAGTATAAGACCACAATGTAAAAATCTTCATTTTCTGATATGTTCCTTCCATTAGCATTGAGCTTCCTAGAAGGAGATAATCTAGCAATGATAGTCACCCATACTGGCGAGTATTAGGATGTGGTACAGATATTTATTTTCCATTTCTTTGATTTATTTCCCTCTAAGATGTATATGGCAGTTTGTAGTTTTCAGAACACTTTCATATTTCTAATCTCTGAGCTACCAACTCTGTGAGAATTGGAGCTATGACTTTTGAGCAATTACGTTAACTGAGGCCAGTTGATATTGATGACTAATAAGAAAGGGTGCAGCCTAGTCTCAACACTTTAAGTCTTGTTCTCTTTCCATATATTGGGTGTATTCAACATGATACCCTTATAGTGAATCTTCATGTAGGGTATGTCAAAAGTAAAGTCATGTTTTTAGGCTAAAGAAAGAAAGAAAATCTAGGATCTTAAAGTTATTGCGAATAAGTAGGAGAATTCTGTGTATGAGATTACGGATTCTGATTATGACCAATTCACATTTTAGCTGGCTTTTTTTCCTCACTGAAAAGGTGGAGGTAGTTTTCTATATAAAACCTGAATATCGAAGATGAAGCTGCTTATGTGTATTTAGGGTTATAAAACAGAGCGGTAACTATCAAGAGTAATATTATTCATTCATATTCCAAATTCCCCTGTTTGTGACAATCCCACATTTTCTTTCTGTTTGTTTATTTTTAACCTCTTTGTTACCATAGTCTCTTATCTTGGACTTTATATTTAGGTTTATGAGAAAAAATAAAGTTATCTTTGGGTGGAGGAGGTTGATGGCTTCCCCCTACTTCGGTTTATTACCTGTTTTACTAATGGCCAGTTTTCTTTTCATATTTTCCCTTGTTTCATTCTGGATGATATTTTCTTTCATTTTAATTCATTATTGATATTTTCCTATTATACTCCTTCCACAATGCCCAACTCTAACAAGGAGGTTGATACTGTAGTTTTCCGTATGTTTCATTTGTTTTTTTGCTTTTTCTCCCCTCTTTTAATTGAGCATTTTATATAATTCCATTTTCTTGTTGCTTTTAGCATATCAGTTATATTTCTTAAATTTTTTCAAGTGATTACCCTAAAGTTTGCCATATACATTTTTGACTTAACCCCCAACTTTACTGAGATATAATTAACAAATAAAAATTGTATATATTTAAGGCGTACAACATGATGATTTGTGTATACATTGTGAAATGATTACCACAAACTAGTTAACACATTCATTACCTCACATAATACTGTTTTATTTTTTTGTGGTGAGAGCACTTTTTAATACTCTTAGCAAATTTCAGGTATACAATACAGCATTATTAAGTATGGTCACCATCCTGTACATTAGATTCCCAGAGCTTATTGATCTTACAACTGAAAATTTATACCCTTCTTTGATCACCTTCTCATTTTTCCATCCTCCAGCCTCTGACAACCACCATTCTATTTTGCTTCAATGAGTTCAGCTTTTTTAGATTCTACATATAAATGAGATCATACAGTATTTGTCTTTCTGTGTCTAGCTTAATTTTACTTAGCATAATGTCCTCCATGTTCATCCATGTAGTCACAAATGACAAGACCTACTTTCTTTTTATGATTAAATAGTATTTGAGTATACACACACACATCGTATTTCCTTTATCCATTCATCTACTGATGGACACTTAGAGTCTTTCAGTATCTTGGCTCTTGTGCGTAATGCTGCAATGAACATGAGAGTGCAGATACCTCTTTGAGATACTGATTTCATTTCTTTTGGATATATATCCAGGAGTGGGATTGCTGGATCATATACTAGCTCCATTTAAGAATTTCTGAGGAAGCTTCGTACTGTTTTCCATAATGGCTGTATGAATTTGCATTCACACCAACAGGGTACAAGGGTTCCTTTTTCTTCATACTCTTGCCAACTCTTATTTCTAGTCTTTTTGATGATAGCCATTCTAACAGATGTTAGTTGTTATCTCACTGTGGTTTTGATTTGCATTTCCTTGATGGTTAGTGATGTTGAGCTACTTTTCATGTACCTGCTGGCCATTGGTCTGTCTTCTTTGGAAGAATATCTGTTCAGGTCCTTCACCCGTTTTAATGGGATTATTTGTGTTTGTGCTATTAAGTTGTATGAGTTCCTTATATATTTTGAATATTAACCCCTTGTCAGCTATAAGGTTTTCAAATATTTTCTCCCATTCTGTAGGTTGCCTTTTCATTTTGTTGATAGTTTTCTTTGCTGTATAGAAGCTATTTAGTTTGATGCAGTCCACCTATTTTTGCTTTTGTTGCCTGTGCTTTAGGTGTCATATCAAAAAATCAGGCAGTAAGACATTTTTAATCTAAATTCACTTTCAAAAAAATGTTATCACTTTATGTGTTATGCAGGTACATACAACAGAATACTCCCAATTCCTTCCTCCCTTCCCTGATGACATTGTTATCATTCATTTATCCATATATGATAATCACCTAATACATTACTATTATTACTTTAAAGCATTACCTTTTAGATGAAGAATAAGAATAATAGAAGATGTAGTTTTAGCTTTATTCCTTCTCCAGTTCTCTTTCTTTATGTATATGTGAGTTTCTGACCTATATAATTTTCTTCTGCCTGAGAACTTTTTTTTTCTTTTTGAGAGAGAGAGCATGAGTGTGGTGGGGGAGGGGCAGAGGGAGAAAGAGAATCTTTAGCAGGCTCCACTCCCAATGTGTGGCTCCATCTCACGACCTTGAGATCATGACCTGACCTGAAATCAAGAGTTGGACACTTAACCGACTGAACCACCCAGGTGCCCCCCGAAGAACTTCTTTTAATATATTTTTGCACGGTAGGTCTCCTGGCTGTGAATTTCTCAGTTTTTATTAGTTTAAGAAAGTCTCTATTTCTCGTTCACTTTTGAGAGATAATAACACTGGTTATGGGTTTCTAGATTGGTGGGGTTTTTTTTCTCTGTAACACTTTAAAGGTTTCACTCTGATATCTTTTTATGTGATTTCTGATGAGAAGTCTACTGTAGTTCTTAACATTGTTGTTCTATAGGTAAGGTGTTTTTTCCCCCTCTGACTTTTTTTAAGCTTTTTTCTTTGTCTTTCATTTTCTACAATTTTAATACGATGTGCCTATGTATAGGTGTTTAGAATTTATATTGCCTGGTGTTCTGAGCTTCCTGATTTGGTGTGTGTCCTTAACTTTGGAAAATTATCAGCCATTATTACTTATAATATTTCTTCTTGTTTCTTTTCCTTTTCGTATTCCAGTTATGTATATATTGCACCTTTTGAAATTGCTCCATAGTTCCTGAATGTTCTGTACTGTTCTTTTTATTACTGTTTTTTTCTCTTTTCATTTTATTTTGGGAAGTTTCTTTCTTTTTTTTTTAAAGATTTTATTTATTTGAGAGAGAGCACAAGCAGAGGGGGAAGGGGCAGAGGCAGAGGGAGAGGGAGAAGCAGACTCCCTGCCGAGCAGGATGCCCAATGTGGGGCTCAGTCCCAGAACCTTGAGATCATGACCTGAGCTGAAGGCAGACACTCAACTGACTGACCACTCAGGTCATCATTTTCAGAAGTTTCTATTGACCTGTCTTTAAGCTTACTGATTCTTTCTTCAACTATATCTGGTCTACTAATTAGTCCATCAAAGGCATTAGTTTTTCTTACGTGTTTTTTATACCTAGAATTTCCTTTGGAGTCTTTCTTAGAGTGTCCATCTCTCTGATTATATTACCCATCTTTTCTTGGATATTGCCTACTCTTCTCATTAGAGACCTTAACTGTTAATCAGTTATTTTAAATTCCCTGTCTGATTAATTCCAGCATCAGTGTAAAATATCTGAGTCTGGTTCTGATGCTTGCTCTTTGTCTTCAGACTATGTCTTTTCTTGCCTTTTAGCATACCTTGTAATTTTTTTGTTGAAAGCCAGATATGTTGTATCAGATAGTGGGTAAATAGGCATATCAGGATGTGGGTAAATAGGCATCCTAAAACTAAGGTTTTAGTCTGGCTAGATGTTGAGCTGTATTTCATGTTTGCGGTGGCTGTAGGTGCCAGAGGCTTCAAATTCTTCTAGTATTCTCATCTCTGTTGACTTTGGGTTTCTCTCTTCAGAGACAGTCTGCATCTTGTAGCTCTTTCAGCTGTTATCCTTTGTTATTATACTGGAACCCTGTTGGTGTGATGGTAAGGTGAGAGGGAAGATAAACTTTCTATAGTCTAATGATTAAGTCTTGGTCTTTTATGAGCCTGTGTCCCTGGCTGTGACCTTCACAAAGGTTTTCCCCCTTAGCTAGAGGGGGCTAGAATGGGAGAAATGCCCATCTGCCAGGTGGGATAAAACTCTGTTAAAATCTTTACTCCTGGAGAGTCTGCCTTTGGGTAGAGTACAGTTTGGGCATATTTCACAATTATTGCCCCCCATACCCTTACCAGAACCACAAAGGGATTTTTGTCAGTTCTTCACTGTGAGAACCTAGTGGGGTTCCTGGATGTAAAGTTCATTAAAATAAACTGCCCTGGGGCGCCTGGGTGGCTCAGTTGGTTAAGCGACTGCCTTCGGCTCAGGTCATGATCCTGGAGTCCCTGGATCGAGTCCCGCATCGGGCTCCCTGCTCGGCGGGGAGTCTGCTTCTCCCTCTGACCCTCGCCACTCTCATGTGCTCTCTCTCATTCTCTCTCTCTCAAATAAATAAATAAAATCTTTAAAAAAAAAAAAAATAAAATA